TAAAACTTTATCCCATCAGTATTTGCTGAAACACTCTGCAACTTTACTTCAGGTTCCTCTGTTTTTTTAAAAGAAGTGTCAATTAAATAAAGTAGATGTTAGCAATTTCTGGGATGAAATATTATTGAAAAGTTTAATTTGCTCTAATAGTAAAAGAAAATGAAGGAAAGAAGCAGATCTTAGTAACAGACCAAAAGGCAGTTCTATTCTCCTTAGTAAAATGATATCATATTTACACTTCGGCAAATTAGATTAAAATTGGTTTAAACTTCAGAAAACATTTAGATGTGTTGTCAGTAATACTTTTTTGCAAGGCACGTTAGATCAGCATGCAGTTACCATGCATTTTAATGACAGGTTATATTTAAATTATGCTGTTGAAACTGCACACACACATTGCAGAAAAAGAGATATAGATAACAAAAGATCAGTGTTCTCACCTTAAGGTGATATCACTACATCAAAAGAAAGAAGCAAGGGATAAAGCAAAAACAAATAACTACTATAGTCTATTAGACACGCTATACAAAAATGTCAGGGTCTTGTAAAAAATACATATTATATCACTTATTGTTGTATTGTTTCAAGGGCAATTACTTTAAATCAATTGAATTAGGCCTCCTTCCCAAGAAAAAGTTTAAATTATTTAGCTTAACTGACAGAGACCTATTTTAATGACAGGATTTGCTCACTGGCAAGCCAGGGGCGTATAAGTGTAAATATTCCAAGTTGTGAATTTAAAAATTAATTTTCAAAGCTGTTACTGAAACAATCAAGTTATGTCAAAGGTTCAATACTCTTACAGAAAATAATGTTAGCATAAAATGTTTTACACTTAAGGTTTAATACAAAAAGTCAAGAACAGTAGGTAGCACGGATTCAAAATTCAACATAATATTATCTTATTAGAACTACTGACAATCCATTTTTAGCAAAATAAAACATAGCTCAAAATAACTTATTACGAAATTCAAGCAGTCACACTTTGTTCTTGCATTGATTTTGAAGTGGTATGTACATATCCAGAACATTATGCTTGTATCCTTATTGGATTGGATGGGCAGGGGATGTTCCATGTTGTCATGCTGTCTGGCCCACTAATGTTCTTACTGTTCTTATCTTCTTGGTGATTCTTCCCCTCTACTGGTGATTCTTCCCCTCTATTCTGCCCTCGTGAGACCCCACCTGGAGTACTGTGTCCAGTTCTGGAGCCCCCAACATAAGAAGGACATGGACCAGTTGGAGAGGGTCCAGAGGAGGGCCACAAAGATGATAAGAGGGCTGGAGCACCTTTCCTATGAGGACAGGCTGAAAGAGTTGGGGCTGTTCAGCCTGGAGAAGAGGAGGCTCCGGGGGGACCTTACAGGGGTCTTCCAGTACCTCAAGGGGGCCTACAGGAAAGATGGGGAGAGGCTGTTCAGGAGGGCCTGTTGTGATAGGACAAGGGGTAATGGCTTTAAAATAGAGGGAGGTAGATTCAGATTGGATATTAGGAAAAAAATTTTTACCATGAGAGTTGTAGAACACTGGAACAGGTTGCCCAGAGAGGTGGTGGATGCTCCATCCCTGGAGACGTTCAAGGCCAGGTTGGATGAGGCCCTGAGCAACCTGATCTAGTTGGAGATATCCCTGTTCCTTGCAGGGGGGTTGGACTAGATGACCTTTGAAGGTCCTTTCCAGCCCTAACCGTTCTATGATTCTATGATTCTATGATTCTATGATTCTTACATGAGGACTCGGACTGTGGTTCACACACAATATAAATCCCAATGTAAGTCAAATGGAAGCCTTTGCACAAGTGATTCACTAGCTTTCAGAAAATTATCTTCATGTAAAATTTAAGGAAAGATGCAATTTGCAGCTGAGGAGTTGGACTACCACCGAATCTATCACCTAGATCTTAGCCGAGCTAAGTTTAGCAGTCAGAATTTTAAACAAATTATCATACGATTAGTACTGGAGTTCAGTATTTTCTAGCACAGAAATGAGGCAAAATGTTAACAACTTCTGGCATATAAATTTTCCTTTTCTTTTTTTAATATATTTTTAAAAATTCTTTAAACAGTAGTCGTTCTCACACTGACTGTGAGGACAACTTCCGTCAGTAGTAATCACTAATGCTCATGACATTTGGGAGTACTTAGTATGTAATATGCTCTTTCACCTGAGGGAGAATTGAGAAATAAAACATTCATTTCTATTTTCTTCCAAATATAGCTGCCTTTAACATAATACAATAAAAGTCTTCCATGTTCTTGTTTGCTTGTTGGAGCTTAATTAATTTTTTTTAAATAATTGTTTTTCATTTTTAAAAAGCGCATATTAGTAATGACTTTGCCTCTCGTTCATCTGTTTGTTTCTCAACTTGCAAAAATCTTATGCAGCAGCCCCTCAAAATTAATATTTTATCAGTACTCAATAAAGAGGCTTAATTGTGACTAATGTACTCTATCTGTAGACTATGTCACATCAAATTCCTCTCTTAGCTCCATTAGTCTGAATTTTGAGGAGCTGTATATGCCAAGAGAATTAACAGTTTAGACTCACAGAAAATCTGAAAAGATTAAAATAAAAATATGCAGCAAAACAGTAATGCTTTTCCAGTAGAGAGAGAGTGGAAACTGAACTTCTCATAACTCAAGCCAGGTGCATAACCACATTTTGCTCTTTGAGGGTTGAGAGGAAGAATCTCTTTCTGTCTCCTCACTTTCTTAAGTCTTCAGGGAAGAGTTTTGGTCTAATGCAGAATCAAAACATTTAAAAAACCTACCTTTGGTTAAACGTCCCCCTTAGTTTATTCCTCAACAAAATTGCTGCTTAGCCTGTATAATGTTTTTGTTGTTGCTGGGTTTTAGGGCATTTTTTTTGGCAGAGTTATAGCAAAAAAGGAAAATAAAAGGGAGAATCCAACTTGACTTAGTGCAACTTGACTTAGTGGTTGGGAAAACTACAGACATTTATTTAAGAAAACTACTGAATGGCACCCTTAAACTTCTTGTGAGGAGAGACAGATACATTTTCTAAACATCTTTACTCTTCCCTGCTGTGCTCAGCTATTACAGGACTTTGCTGACACTCCTCTAAGTAATAGGAAGCAGTCAAAGTGATGTAAGATACTGTATTTCAGCCTGGTTCCTGACGATGAATTGTCTGCAAGGCTTCTTACTGAATGCTTGCTGAGGGTACAAGACCCTACCTATAGCTTTTGTACAAAAACATTTACTAATAAAACAGATCGCTGAGTCAATTTCAACTGCTCAAAATTTACCATTCACTCTTACTCTGTGACTGATAATTAACACTTAAACAGCAGAGATAAAGCATAAATATGACTACATCTTAATTATGAACCTTGAAGTAAACTGATTAGAAGCTCATATGAGCATTAAAATAACCAAATTTGCCATTTATTTATAAAGGATGACATTAAAAAAAAAAAGAATACTTTGTTACTATCGCATAGGTTTAGTCAGCATCCTATACACCACCATCTATCTATATGCCAAGAAGTTTGTAATGTATCCCTTTAAACCGCAATGCATGTTTTGGAAATAAATATGTATAGCAGTTTTAAGAAAAGACAAGAACTATTCTTTTTCTACTTAATGTGTTTAGTTTAGGGATGTGAAAGACCAGGATGCCAACAGCGGGTCCATTTTCAGAGGTCTCCTTTTTAATGAATCATTGACTGTGCTGGGTAATACGTAAATGAATCACAGAAAATACAGTGGCATCCCATGCAATTGTCAAACAGTATTTTCATCGGTTTTGCCATTGTCATGATACTTTTACTCAGAACATCCCTCATATTTTTATGCCATTACAATTATCATTCTTTCTGTAACTCTCCCTTATCCCCAGCAATAAGCATGCATCATGTTTTCAAGTCACTTGGGAAATGAAAAATATAGCAAAAACATGTGAGTGGTGAGCAGTAGGGAGATCAACACTCTTCATATTTGTGCATATCAAAATAGTGAGGAATTATCTTTTTTTCAGAGCAAGAAAATCTCCACAGAAGACTTTTGATGATGCTGCTGCAAGGCATTATTTCTCTGTTAATATCCCCAAAGCTGGTTCCTATCTAGTTACCACTATAAGTTCTTTTAATTGCTTGCCCTTCTGAAGATGAATAGGCACGTTGTAATCTCTTCTCAAGACATGCTAGAGAAGCAGGTAAATCCTCACACACAAAGTGAGAAGATATTGTTTTTATGAGGTTCCTGCTGCACTCTTTATTTTGTAATCTCAGCATTGTATGTCATTATAACACATCAATCACAAAGAAACAAAGGGTCGACTGTCATGTATATCTGGCCAAAAGAGAGTATAGATACTTCCTGTGTAGATGAAAGGGAAAATGATTTTGAACATTTACAAAATACTGCCATAAATGAACAATTAAAAAAAATATATTTATCCTTTGTTATAGTCGCATGTCCCAAGAATACTCAGTGGTGTTAATTGATGGTAACTTAGGCCACAGTTTAATTTAATGAGTTTATTTTTTTTCTCAACACCAATGCAAATGTGACAAGTCTCTAAGAATCAGATCTGTTCCCAACTTGACTCAAGTTAATGCAACACCAAATGTGTAAGTGCACACAAAATTCATCCAGCCAGAGTTATATGTACCTAAGAATTGCTATGCTTTAATATATCTTTCTGTGTACAAGTAAATCATGCATCAAAAGGTTTGGAAGACTCAATATCCACTAGATTGTAAAATTAATGTTTTGGACTGATGCATAGATGGATACCTTTGTCTCTTACATAGCAGAAGAAGTGAAGAAAACCGTGCTGGCATGCTGGCCAACAAGCTCAATTTAGCAAACATAAACCACTTTGCTTTGCAATTAAACTTTTGGGTTTTTTTTCAGCTTGATACTTTTTTTCAGCTGATACTCCAAACTAAAAGATGGCCTCCACTTTTCCTTAGGTTACCACTTTCTATCCTCTCTGTGCTGTTAACTGGGGACAGATTATTTTCCTTTTAGTGAAATATATTGCCTCCTACAAAGCTGCCACCTATGCGTCTTTAAAAGGCTACTAGTAACTGGTATAGCAGCACTCTCCCTTCAAGGATCAATCATTGAAGCTGTATAAAGAGCCCAGTCTCTCCACCCTGCAGATTGGATCATAAACATACTTTTTAGCATGGCTGTCTCACAAGGCATTTACTGCTATTGCATGGCATGTTCTAAGGTCCTTTAAATTCCTAAACTGAGGGATGTGTGATCGACTCACCTCCCCTTAGGGCAGCCCTAAAATCTGCTTTGCTTTATTGCTTTTCAATGCAATAAAGCATGTGCCAGTGGAATAAAATGATTTTTCCAATCCTGCCAGCATTTTGGGTAGTCTCTTCCCTAAACTCTAAATGATAGAAGAATCATTCATGTCAGCTACTTTACCAAAAAAGAATAATGAAAGATGACATATTGGGTTGGGGCTGGTAAATGGGAAATGAAGGCGGACTTTTTTTCTCCCTCCTAAAAAGCATTTTAGAGAAATAGTAGAAACATATTTCAATAAAGTAAATCTTGGATATGGAGTGACAGTACTATTTTGTTATTGTTTGCTTTACAAGCAAAGTAACTTTTTCTAAAATCACAAGATAATCTTTATTGCATTTTAACTGAAATGAGTCCAATGGGCACTTCAAATCTTAGTTCCAGATAAGTTTTCTTAATTGTGTGCTAATGCTCTTTTGGAGATTTTTTTTTTTTTTTTCTGGAACATTTTGAAAATTTACATAGTATAGAGTTGTTTGGAAGTGTCTTTTAATAGCTGTTTCACCAAGTTTCTCTGTGTTCAGTCCATCAGTAAAATCAGGCACTGTTGGCCTTACACAACTTCAGAATTGCAAAGGGCATGCAAAACTAATCCAATTTTATTGCATGTTAAAATGACCACACCTGGTCTTTTGTTACTGGAAACTATTAAATGAATGGGCAGTGGAGTGTGCTAAAATTTTTTTGCAATGAGGATAAGGAAATTTACACTTCAGATTTTCCAGTAAGAAAAGACTCTTTCCACTTTGAAACATTTAATTAATTCTTGCCAATTTTGAATAGGTTTCTCCACTTCCACATTGATAACCTTTTGGCTCTTTCTTTAGTTAACCCTGAAACATTTTCTTTACAATCACATGCCCAAAGGCAGACAGCAGTCAGGCAGGTGACTACCTGCTACCATGAAACATAGAAGACGGAAAAAAAAAAAAAAAAGGCAGGGAGAGAGAGAGAAATATTTTAACTCCCCATCTGAAGCTGCAACACTGTTAGGATATCCCAGTCACTCTGCTTCATGTGTTATAAAGTTTTTCCAGTTCTATTTTACCCTTCTACAGAAAAGTCAAGAGCAGTTCAGTACTGGTTACTTACTCAATTGTGTTCCTGTCCACTTTTCCTGTCATATTAATGCCATAGAACTGCTGCATGGCAGCTATAGCTGATTGCATGGTTTCTGCAGAGCGCAACACCGACATTCGGGGGTCAGTTGGTGGAAGGTAGCCATACTTTTGTAACCATACCTGCAATGACAAGTGCAGTGGCTATTAAAAGAGAAATTAGAGGTAAATAAAATGTGCCCTAGTAACTAGCTTTGTACCATATATAATGACGCTTCTAATTCACCAAGCACAAATTCTGTTAGTTTGGGTTTGGGGTTTATTTTGCAGAGAAGGAATTCTTTGGGGCTTTTATTTGATCTCCTTTATTAAAGGTTCTGCTATTTTAAGACTTAAAGTCTTTTCCACCCAGGAGCCAGCTCTCTTTATTAACTTAAACTTCCTGCTTCAATTATTTATTTAATGTATTTATGTATTTGAAGTTACAACTGAAGCACCTAACCCTGGCTCCAGGCACTTCAAGAAATTTGTAAAGCAGACAAAATATAAAATCTACAATATGTGCCACATATAATTGACTGTCCACAGGGTACATAATAATATTCACCAACTACAATAATAAATCCACAATAGCTCTTGCACAGTTACACTATATTGTTATCGTCTCTCAAAGAATATGAAAGAGAAGGTGGGGACACATTCAACTTTCCAGGAAGAATATAAGAATCGCATACTTATAGGCAAAGCAGGTAGACACGAGATAGTGAAGCAGCAGAGAATCTGCCCACTTACAGGGAACTCCCTGAAAAGGATCTTCGTTTTTAGATTGAGATAGATTTAATGCCAACTGTTTATGCTCTTAATTGTGTAGAAGTGAGAAAGTATGGTCCAAATAATTCAAAGCTTTATGGGTTAAAGCCAATACCTTAAAGAACACCTGGAAAAACCCTCTGAAACATGCTGTCCTCTTGAGGCAGTATTTCATAAACAAGTAGCTGCAGTTATCTTAATGTTTCTAAGCATTCTCAAAATCCAGCCCTTACAAAGCACAGTGTAAGACTTTTGAAGCAATGAGAGCACTGACACATCTTTAAAAATGTCTTAGCTTCTCATCTAAAGACTGGAACTACCCACTAGAATGAATGGTACATATATTGTCTCTCTACAAGACACAGTTAAATTGCATTGCTGCAGCTTCACTCTCCCCAGTAACAAAGTACTTGTGATCCCACAAATCTTATCTTCTCTTCTTAAAAAAAAAAAATGAATGAGTAGATAAACAAATCAAAAAATTAGTCCAGCCACCTCTTTCAAATGTATCACATCCCAGTTCACGGATTCTGAATCATTGCATTAACGAATGCTATCCACCCACTCTCCCCTTATAGTGCGTTTCAGGGTCTATCCGCCTCATGCAACACTTCTGGGTTTTTTATCTGTTTATACACACTGTTCATATACAGTCTAACACCAAACTGTGTAGCTGAAATTTCAGCCTTAAGTTTAGCTTGCAGAGTCCACCCAATTCAGTTCTGTAGCAGGTTAACCATGTTGATGGTGCACTCCCATTTTACAGTCCCACTGAAGAACCTGAAGATGGACCAATTCATTGCTATGGTTCACTTCACTGACACTGGACATATATCATAGGTGAACATTGGCTCAGTGTAAATAAAAGATCAAACTAGCACTAAAGATAGGGGAAATCTTCAGGTTATAAGCTCAAATCTTTCTAAATTAAACAAGTTTACCTTCCCATAGCACATTTCAGATACAATCTCAGTGACGTCTGTGAGCTCCACACAACAGGGAGATACAGTACAGACAGGATTAAGACCCAGCCTAACCTCTTTCACCTTCACACTATCTCTATACACAGGACTCATTAAGAATAAGAACAAAACTACGTTTAATAGATAGGAAGATGCTCTTATTTCCAGTATAAAGGAATTGCTACAATCAGTACCTACATCTGACTTTACATACTCCTGATTTCTTTCACTTTTCGGCTTCAAGAGTGACCTTGTGAACATTAAGTTTGTGCTAGATTTGGGTCATCACACAAATAATTTTGTTTATGTGTCTCTTTGCACAGGAACTCTGGTTTTCCTTCCATTATTGAAAGACAGCTCTGGAAGGCCAGCTAGAGATGGAAGGCTGGCAAGAGCAATGCGATGTGTGGAAAGAAGATCACGGAAGCGAGAGATCAGTTTGACATATAGAGTAGACGGATTTCAATGTAGCACATAGAGCCCCTTTGAATTAATATTTACAATAAGTATATTTAAGGATGGGGTTATCTTGAGATTCATCTTCTCAAGTCATTCCATAAAAGGCAAGGGAAACAATGTCAAACACAGTAATATTAACACAAATGATCAGTCAGAGAAGAAAAATAATTCTGAGCAGTGCGTCACTATTGTCTAAAATGATGCCACCTTCTTGTCATCTCAGCATGAATTTGGTATGCAGACACAGAGCAGGGCTTTTCGCTAAGCTCTCTTTCAGGTGCTAAGGGCACACAAAATTGCTTGGTATGCTTGTGAGGCCACCTATCACCACTCAAAAACATCCTCACTGTGACATAAATGAAGGAGACAGACCGATGTGACCTGGAGTGACCAAATTTACCAGAAGCTAAACCTTCAAATATTTGCATTAGGAAAGCTTTATAGCTATATAGAGAGACAGAAAAATAGACTATTTTTCAAATTGCTTGGGGAGTATTGCTCATGGGACAAGGGGAGTAGAGAGGACAAACTGGAATCTAGCAGAGTGCCACAGCAGACACAGGAAAGGGTAAAGAGAGGTGGCTCAGAAAAATCATGAGAGGACAGTCTAGCCTCTCCCTTCTAAAAAGGCTTAAATACAAGTTAAATATGGGACGCCTTATAGCCAATCCTTATCATTGAACAAAGGAAGTAGACCACCTGGGTCTTCCTTCAGCCTTCAAAATAGCAACTAGAAGACTCAGTCAACATACCCGAAAGTCAGATGGTACTCTGAAAGTAAATTTCTTTTTTTTTTTTAAATTTAGACAAATTGACCTCCAAGACTAATAATTGGTGAACGCTTGCAAGCTAGTAGCATTTAATAGCATTAAATGCTACTAGTGTTCTATCCTTGTGAGAAAGGATCATGAAACAAGATAAGAGACAACTTATCTGGTTCTTGTTGCATTCCTCAGACTCCTCAGTCTTCTATTAAAAATTTTGAAAGACCTTGGCTCAGTGTTCCAGACACCTGAAATATGCCCCTCAGATTCTATTGTGCATAGTCAAAAAGCTGGGGACTGTGAAGAAGCTTGACTTTAAAATGAAGTCCAAAACATCGTGGTGGGCAAAACAACAAAGAGGAAAAGAAACAGAATGAGGCAGCCACAGCAGGAGAATAAAGGAAAACAATTATTTCACAGCCTTGTATTTTTGAGGCAACCTATTAAAGAAATTATGACAAGAATTTCCACCTCCCCTTCTACTGAAATTAAATGTCTCTCTGACTTAGTGCATTTCAGCATTGAAAACACAGTGTTGGTGGGCCATCTATCATCCTGAGGAACTCATCTGTCTTGGAACAAGGAAATAGTGAAGTAGATCCATTCCATAACATGTAATGTCTGGAATGCCAAGAGAGACCCCTTACACAGATTCCAAAATCATTGATATGTCCCATTAAACAGTTCTGGAAGATAAAATATTGCTATTTCAAGTGAAGTTTTTGGGCAAGAATTTCTTGTCCTGCAGCAAAATGACAGCCATGTTAACCACAGAAAAACACAGCTGGAAGACAACAGGCTCCACCACTTCCCTCTATATTACAGTGCTTTATTATCCTACTGCTGTGAAATTTGCATCAGTGTTGAATCTCCCTTATTATAATTTAAACCTGTTACTTCTCATTTTACCTGCTATGGTGAGAGGAACCGATTATTCCTTTCTCCTCTGCAGCAGCTTTTTATGTATTTAAACTCTCTTACGTGAGCCGCTCTTTCTAACCTTTTTTAAACAAACTAAAGAAACTCCTTTTGTTCAATCCTATTTCATTGTCCACATTAACCTCCAGGAAATTAGATTTGTATGTTAGTTCCCATTGTTAGCCTATTAATGAACACTGGAGTTTAGCTGAAGAGTGTTATTAGTAATTCAGAAGAACACGGACTCTCAAACATTTCATTTGGGGGAAAGAAAAACAACAACAACAAAAAAAAAACCTCAGAAATAAAATTAGCCTAAAAATATTTTTTCTCACTACTTGAACGTCAAGGCTTATGTCCTATTTATCTATACATTTTAAAATTATAAAACCATGCTTTTTTCCATCAGAAAAAATCTTTCACCATAATTCCAGTGTCTCTTTTTATAATTGTAAGTAAAAAGATAAACAGAACCCGTTAGTGACAAAACCTGTAGAGATGCTAGGAGTTTGTTGGGGACCTGCCACTTCTGCAGGAGTCCATGGAACCTGTAAGTGCTCAGCACATGAGCTGTATCACCTTCCAGATTTTGGATGTCATTGACTAGATGCCGAGGGTTTGGGTTTTTTTCTGCAATGACGAAAAGATCTTTTCATTTTAGTTTTTAACTGCTACTAATGCTATGCTACACAGATCATCTGGCTATGGACCAGAAAGATAGCCCTTTGTCACATGGCTGTATGTCTATCTCCTCTAAAGGATAAAGCATGGGCTAACTTAAAGTCTATTAAATATACACCAATGTACTTCAATCATTCAGATCTTTGCTAGTTTGAGAAGAAAGAGTGCTCTTAAAAACAGTATGTTGACACGACATTGTTACTAAGAATAAAGAAAACCGATATGTCATCATTAAACATTAAGCAAGAACGTTATGAGGATAATCAGAGTTTCAGGGAGCTTACTGATTTCTAAGATAGAACTTATCAACAAATTATTAATGTTCCTGAATGGCAGTACATAGTATAAGCTACAGGACAATTATGTTCTATGAACCTGAAAGCTTAGTAAATCAAACAGTGTAATAAAGCATGGATCAAAACAATTTAATAAACACCTTCAATAGTGCAGCTGCATATAATTATTATTCATGTATTCATGTTCCTTTTTTAGATTTTATAATGCAAATAAAATTCCTGCTTGTACCAAGTAAAACTCTGAGATTTCAGAATTTCAAAATATTTTGACTTTTGTTTTTTAACACACTTT